CGTGTTTTGTGTGTGTGCTTTTCCATGTGTGGCTGGTTTTGTGTTTTGGGGGGGTTTGGGAGGTTGTGGTTTCTGCGGGGTTTTTTTTGTGTGTGTATGCGGTTTATTGAGGTTTTGTTTTGTTTATTGTTTTTGTCTTCTTTTGCGTTATTTTAGTTTTGTGGGGGTTTTTGTGTTTTTGGTGGTTTGGGGTTATTTGCATTTTTTGTGGGCGCTTTTGTGAAGCTTTGGGAGGTTTTGGGGGTTTTTTGTGTGTTTTTGTTTTTTTATTTTGAGGATTTGGGGGGTTTTGGCCTTCTGTTTTTTTCTGTTTTCTCTGTTGTGTTATGTTTTGGGGGGCTATGGTTTTTCTTTTTGCTTTTTGGAGTTTTTGTGTTTTTTCTGGGGGGGGTGTGGGGAGGTGTTTGTTGTGTCTGTGTGCACATGTGGGGTGTGCATGTGTGTGCGTGTTTGTTTTTTGACATTTTTGTGCATTTTTTTGTTTTTTGTGCCTTTTATTTTTTGTTTTCTTGTTTAGCTTTAGTGTTTTTGCATTTTGGGATTTTTTTGTGTGTTTTGTGTGAGTCTTTCTTTGCGTGTGTTGAGTGTGTGCTGTGTGTGGTTTTTGTATATTGTGTGTATTTTCTGTGTGTGTTTTCTGTTGTGTCTTGTGTGTGCTTGTGTGCGCATGAATTTGTGCGTGCATGTGGGTATGTGTTTTTGTTTTGTGTTTTTGATTTTCTTGTTTTTCTGTTTTTTCTTGTTTTTGAATGTTTTTGTATTTGAGCATTTTGGTTTGGGTTTTGTTTGTTTTGGGGGGCATTGGGTTTTTAGGGAATTTGTGTTTTGGGGTTTTGTGTGTGTTTTTTGTGGTTTTTGTTTTGTTTCAGGTGGGTTTTTGTGCTTTTGGTGGATTCTGTGGGTTTGGGCTTTTTGTGGGGCTTTTTTTAGTGCTTTTTGAGCTTTTTGTGCTTGTTTGTTTTTTTGGCATTTTTGTGTTTTTTGTTTTGGGGGTTTGGGTTTTTTGTTGGGGTTTTTTTTGGTATCTTTGGTTTCTTGGTTTTGGGTTATTGTCTTTTTTCTTTTTTGTTGCTGTGTTGTTGTTTTAACGCTTTTGTGGGTTTTGTTTTTCTGTTCTTGGGATTTTTGTCATTTCCTTTGTATTTTGGCTTTGCGGGGGGTTTTGTGCTTTTGCTGGTTTTTGAGGGTTAGGGTTTTTTTAACTTTTGTTTTGTGTCTGTTTTTTGTGTGGTTTCTGTGTGTCTTTTGGGGGGCGTTTTGTGGGGCTCTTGTGGTTTTGTGGGGATGTGGGGATTTTTGGGAGTGGGGGGTTTTGGGGCTTTTGAGGGGGGGCTTATCGGGGATGTTTTCTTGGGTGGGTTGTGTTTTTTGTTTTGTTATGGTGCTTGGGGGGATTGAGGCTTTTGGGGAGATCGTGTTTTTTGTGGGTGACTTTGTGGGGTGGTTTTGTGGGCTTTTGGGGTGAGATTGTAGGGCTGTGGAGTGGGGGTAGAGTTGGTGGGGGTGTTTTGGGGCAGTGGGGTTTTTGGTGTTTTGGGGTTTTTCTAGCGGTTGGGGGGGTTGGTGTTTTTGCTTTTTGGGGGTTTGTTTCTCGTTGTTTTGATTTTTTTTTTTGTGTTTTGTGCTTTTTGTGTTTTTTGTAGGTTTGGGAGGTTTAGGTTTTTGTTGTTTTGTAGCTTTTGCCTTTTTCAGTTTTTTTGTTTTTTGTTCGTTTGTGTGTTTGGGGGTTTGTAGTTTTTTTGTCATTTGTCGTGTGGGGTGTAATTTGGGTGTGGGTTTTTTGCATTTGTTATTTAGTACTTTTTTGTTATTTGGGTTTTTGTGCTTTGTGTGTTGTGTGTTTTATGTGTGGTCTTCTATGTAGGTTTTTTTGGACTTTTGGGGGTTTTTTGTGCTATTTGAGCTTTTTGGGGGGGAGGTTTTTTGCGTGTGTTTTTTGTTTTGTGTGTTTGTGTGTGAGGTGCATGTGTGCATTTGTGGATGTGTGCTTTTGGTTTGGTTTTGTTTTTTCTTGTTTGTTTGGGGTTTTTAGTGTTATTTGTTCTTATGCGTTTTGATTGTGGGGCTTTCTGGTGTTTTTGTTTTTCGGGGGGGTTGGGGTTTGTTGGGTTTTCTGTCTAATTCAATTTTTCTGTTTTTGTTTTTTTTGTGGGTTTCTTTTGTTGATTTTGTCTTTGTGATTTTTGAGGTTTTTGGTGGCGGTGGGTTTTGGTGGTGTTTTTATTGGTTTTTGTGTGTGGCTTTGTTTTTTGTTTTCATTTGTTGTTTTGGGGTTTTGTGTTTTTTCACTTTTTGTCATTGTGTGTGTGCTTGTGTTTTTTTGTTTTAGGCTTTTCTTTTTTGTTTTTGCTTTGTTATTTGTTTTTTTGTGTGTTTTTTGTGTTTTTGTATTTTGGTTTTTCAGTTTTGTTTTTTGGGGGGTTGTTTTTGTGAGGGTTTTTTGTGCTTTTAGCATTTTTTTTGCTTCATTGTATATTGTAATTTTGTGGGCTTCGTGGGGGGGGTGTTTTTCGTTGTTTTGGGCTTTCTACCTTATCTGTTTTTTTGTGGGGGTTTTGTTGGGGAGCTTGGTGGGGCTTATTTTTCTTTTTTGGATTTTGGGGCTTTTGTTTTTTCGATGTTTGTGTTTTTGTGATTTTCAGTTTTGTGTTTTCTGGTTTTTATTTTATTTGTTTGTTGATTTTTGTCTTTGTCTTTTTCTTTTTTTGTGTGTGGGTTGGTGTGAGTTTGTTTTTTTGGGTTGTTTTACTTTTTTCCTCTTTCGTTTTTATTTGTTTTGTGGTTTGTGTTTGTTTTTTATTTTTGTTGTTCAGTTGAATTTTTGCTTTGGGAAGTTACTTTTTTATTTGCTTTAGCAGCTTGTTGGTTTTGCGGCTTTTTGCTTGTGCTTTTCTTTTGGTTTTTTTTGTGGTCTGGTTTTAGGTTTTTATTTGGTTCTTTTTCCTCTTTTGACTTTTGTTTCTGTGGGGGGTTCTGGTTTTTGTTGGGGCTTTTTGCAGGACTTTTTGGGTTTTTTGTGTTTTTGGATTTGTGACTTGTTTTTTGTTGTTTTGTGTTTGGTTTTTTGTGCATTTTGGGTGGGGGTTTTGTGTTTGGGTTTTTTTGGGCCCTGCAGGGTTGTTTGTTTTTGTGGATTTTCTGGTTTTCGTTTTGTGCTTTTGTGTTTTTTTGTTGTTTGTTTTGTCTTTTTCTTGATTTGCTTTTTTGTGGTTTAGTGTGGGTGTGTAGTTTTGGGGGGGGGGTAGTTTTTTCTTTGGGGGTT